AAGTTTTTTGACGATTGACTTACTGAAATTGAAGTCCATTATTTGAGAGTGTTGGTACAATAGAGCTGTTATGATGTCGATAGAATTCATTGAACGGTTTGAAATACATGAGTAATAACAAGACATTGGCCACACTTGTTTTTTGAAAAATATAATTTATTTTATATTAAAAGTCTTTGACAGAAAGATCAACTGTCAAGAAAATTATCGAACACAGAGGTACAGAATCTACCTGTGTGCGGGCACGCGCGTTTGGGGAAACTTTTTGACACTGGGAAAATTCTTGATAATGTTGAGATCGAAAAACTTTTCGAAGAATGTCTTCCTTTACGGAGAAATCATAAACTCAATAAATGATTTCTCTAGTTTATTTGTTCTTTCCTTGTCTATTAATTTATAGACCTAGGTCTTTGTCTCATTTGCACGCACATAATTCGTCTCTGAATGCCTTGTTTCCTTTTCATACCGCATTTTCCTTTCAGCGTTGTTTCTTGTCATTTACTCTTTTTTAACGTTACCGTTTCTGATTTAAATTATCAACGAGTATTCATGTAAAGGCAAAATAGCATCAACTTTGATATTAGTAGATTATTTTACGGCGAGATATAATAAAATAATTACATGAATATGCAACAATTTATATTGGTCTCTAGTCAACGAAATTGAATATAATAGATTATATGTGTGAATAATATATTGCAATCTACCTGATTTATTGACTATAATAAGTTATGAAGTCTTTCTCTCGCAATAGAAGACTACTGTTTAGAAAATAAGCCAGACGGATCAACAGATCATGGTATTTCTGTCATATATTTGTGTTGAAACTGGAAGCTTTCAAAGTTTTTAGTAATACTTTACCTGAAACTCAAGAGGTTGCCCAAAGTTACACAAAGGTTTAACCAAAATTTACATCTTTAAACATAAAATACGTTGCTTAGATAAATCGATTCTCAAAGAACATCTCAAAGACTATATTCATATTAGAAGACAGTTTTGAGAGGAGTGATCTAAAAAACTCGAATAGAAAGTAATAGTCTTCTATTGTGGAAGGAACTCTAATTGATTTGAATGATTAAAACTTTGTTGTAGCTGTTCTATGTTCATAACATCACTTTATTAAGTTTTCTTTGCATAATAATTGATTATAATCATAATGATTTTGGTTTTTTTTTACATCGCCACCGTTTTTGACACCTTACGGATAGCTCGCTTTTGTTGTTCTGTTTTTTATGAATATGCGTCTTCAAACAACAACACCTTTTTCTCTTCTTTTTAGGCAGGGAAATTTTCTGAAAAACTTTTGCCGTTTGGGGAAATTTTTCATTTTTGCGGCAGATTCTGCACTTCTGTTCTTATCGATGTTTGTTTTTTTTGTTTTTATTTTCTGAATTAAAGTCGAAATTTTCTTTTGAAAACATTGATGATTGTCGATATTATGTGAAAATTGCTTCTTAATGGCTAAATTTTTTCAGATTTTAGTTAGAAATTTTTTGCTAATATTGAATGAATTTTCGTAAGTTGTGGTTATTTAATATTTGCTTTCATGAGGCGTTTCTAGTAAATTTTTGTATTTTATTACTGAGTCAATTCATAGATTTTGTCGCAAACTCTCGTCAATTTCGAAATTTAATCATTTTTGTAAACCTAAAAAATACCTTGTACTTTTTCTTTATCAACATATAAAAGTAGAATTCATCACAAATAGCAGAGAGAGAGACCAATGTCATAAATATCGTTCAAAAAATGTTCTCGTGTGGACAAATAATGACTTTCACGAGAATAAATTTAATTTTAACTGTTTTTATTCTGAAAGAAACAAGAAACTGAAATATTTTAATGATTTTTTGCATTGATCAGAGATATATTCTCAAATATTTCCATGAGATTTTATATTCATACAACTTGATCAAATCTCAATTCGATTTAACTATTTTCGCCATCAATACATGAAAACTAAATTCAATTATTTTCATCTTTCTCAATAGTAATTGTTGTTGTTTGATTTTTGTTAATGGATTTCCTTGACGAAAATGTCCATCGTGAATTCGAACAATAGCATGATGAAGATTCGTGATTGAATATGTGCGAAACTCAGGCTGCGTGGAAACATTTCACTAACTCACATTCACACCTTGATTATGAAAGGTTTTCAAAAATTCCATCAAGTTTTTTCAATACAAAAAAAAACGAGTATTTTCTCGTTTCCTTATACACTAATAACACATTCATTATGCTATGCTTAAAAAAAAACTCCAGATTTTATCATAGAACATGTTCATCACATTTCGTTCAGCGCAATAGTAGATATTACGAAATGAAAAGCTCAAAGAGATATTGCAACGGTAAAATGCTATTTTACTGCTACAACAAGTAATAAAAATAATGGTGAAAAAACTGTCATAAAAAAATGACAATAGATAGATTTTGTGTAAGGCACTATAAAGTGCTACTTTTAAAACCATTCTCATTTAATTCAAAATAATCATTTTAATGCTCTACACCGAATCCATTTTTTGACCTTTTCTGTGACAGTTTTTCACTATTATTTTGATCCCTTTTTGTGCCATTTTGGACGCATTTTGTCGGCACAATTAGAACTAGTGCTTTAACTTGAAAAACACTTTAATAAAGTAGTTAAAGTGCATTATAACGCCTGCCAATAAGATGAAGGTCTTTCATTATGATAAGACCATGAAAGTCTTTGAGATAAAAATCCAATAACCTTGAGATAAACTTATGATGATAGTCATCTCTGTGTATTTGTCGTGTTCTCGACGAATCTACCTCAGTCGTTAGACAGATATACAGATTTGAACAAAGAAATAAAATTTCCTGACGCTGAAGATCGACGAGCTCAAATAAATGAATCTATCTGAAGTACTTTCAATAGGCAAATAAAATTTGACTTTGAAGTAACAGAAAGAAGTTGGGTGGGTACGGATGAACCTGAGGACAGGCTGAAAGATGATCTGCACCCACACTCACAGTCATACCAACGTCGATTACACCACCTACACTTTTTATAAAAAAGATTATTGTTTATCTGTGTTAGAGCGTATTTTTATTGTCATCAAATAAATGATCACAATGACGAACAACTAGACCAAGAAAAGAAAAACACAACAAACAACAACGTAAATTAAACTAAAACTAGACTACAAAGAAAATAACAATCCATATATATATATATATACATATATACGGATAATGAAAAACATAGATATAAAGATAGAGATATAGAGGATAGTGATGGATGTTAGGGAACAACAGGTGGCGTATCCTAACACTGTGAAATACACTACTCTTAACTAGAAATTATGGTGACGAATATTGCGTTACCAGTTATTCAATACCGTGGCGTTACTTCCCTCCTTCACTTCGAAATCTGCTTTTGTCTGTCTATTGAAAATACTATAATTGAGATTCATTTATTGAAGCTCGTTCACTTTCAGCGTCAGAATGTTTTATCTCTCTTTTCAAACCTGTATATCTGTCTATCGATGGAGGTACATTCGTTGAGAATATGACAAATACACAAAGATCACTAGTGTCATAAGTTTATTTCAAGGTTATTTGATTTTTATTTCGAAGACTTTCATGTTCTTATCATTATGAAAGACCTTCGTTTTATTATCAGACACAAGGATACTTTCAGATAAGATAAAGTAAGAAGCTATTTAAAGATATTTAAATAGTGTATTTCATTATTTCATTTTCAATTGAAGCAGAAACATTATAAGCACATCTGAAAGGCAGTATTTCGCAAGCCAACCATTGACTAAATTTACAAGAGAAGAATGTAATAACATGAGTCCGTATCTATCAACAAAGTAATGAATTTTTTTCTTTTTCATTAAGGTCACGCATTCATACCGAACAACCTATAACTGTTTCAATCGACAGTATATTCAGACCCTGGGGTGATGAACGTGCTTTCAAACAATACGAGCGTCGAGGGTAGACATGTGCGGGACCAACTTTTTTTGGTCCCGGTCCCGGTCGCGGTCCCGGTGAAATTGAATTTTGGACCCGGTGCGGTCCCGGTCCTGGTAAATTTTTTTTTGGTCCCGGTTTGGGTCCCGGTGAAAATTTTCATTTGGTCCCGGTCCCGGTGGAAATTTCCCTTTTGCTGCTGATTCCGGCGAAATTCTGTTTTTTAGTCCTGGGCTCAGTTAACACATTCGCTACGATGTGGCCTAACAGTGAGCCACGCTACATTTTAACGAGAAACTGTATAGAAAAGTACTTTATTTTTCTTTATTCTTAGACAGGAGACTGAACATAATGCTTTATCTGTTCTGCCTTCAGAACTCTTTTTGAGTCCGTTATTCCATAGCATGATGGGTCTTATTAAAAAAATCAAGACAAAAAGAATTGTTACTCACAACAGAACGTTTTTACTTTCTTTGCTACCGCATAGCTCGCTTCTCTTGACTGTTGTGCTCTTCCTTTCGCAAAGCAGCCAGTACAGCGTCTGCGGACATTGCCCTTAAATCCTTCCTTTTCTTTGAGCTTGCGATTAGTGAATTCGCGCTTGAATTGGGTTGCTGATTCAACTTCTCGAATGGCATGTCATGCTGAAATGTCCTCACAGGAGTTTCGCCAAACTACAGGATGGTTTACTTCGCTACATGTGATATTACAAATGGAAAAGAGAAAACGACAGATCAGTATAGGATGAAAAGACCAAGCAGTGCATTTATCGCAAGATGAATGCAGACGAAAATGAATCTCTAGAGCTACTCTTTAATAAAACCGAATTGCGTCGAATGTGTTAAATTTGGTTTTTGTTCTACACCCAGTCTAAGTAACCTTACTTTTTCTGTTATTTGTCCATAGTCAGAGAAGTTGTTGCAGAATCTGCCGGTTTTAGATCTGGAGCAGTTCTCACTTCTATTTCCACCGATGTTTCTTATCAACGGCAAACATGACCGGGACTAAATTGTTTTTCGATCCTGGTCCCAGTCCCAGTAAAATTCTATTTTTTGGTCCCGCACATGTCTAGTCGAGGGGGTTGCTCAGGCTGTGGACTCCGAACAACTGTTATACTAACTGACAGTCGATTGATAGTTCGTGAAAAAGATACAAACTGTTGTGGTTGTGGAGGTGTTACTATTGATACAACTGCCTTCTTACAAGATATTGATATGTTAAGCACAAGTAAACAATCAGTCTCGATAGCTAAAATAATTGCTGGTATACTTACCGGTAAAATTCTTTGTCTGTTGTGTGATATTTGCTGTGGACCCAAGATGCTTGGAATTCGAGGAGCATTTGGTTCGCACGCGATTGCCTTCGAATCTGATGAAATAGCTGAAGCAGCAGCGCACATAACCAGTGCGATTCGGAATGCCAAGTCTAAAATAACACCACAGCCATCGACCATAGGACAATTGTGATCGGAATGCTATTTTCAGAAGAAAGACATGCACAGCTTCATGCTTATATCTTATGTTAGAGCACATTACGAAAAACCCACGTTTTCTTCTCTATGTTTCTTTTTGTATTACTTGAAGTTTTAATTTCAATAATAAAGGTTTTGAAATATGACTTGAAAGCATCTTAATCGATACTAAAAAAAGTCACGCTTTGATCAATAGAGGGTTCCCTCAAAACTTATCCACAATCAGATACCTTTGTAAAGATTATCAAGATGTGCTAGGCAATCGAAGCGTAACATTTCTATACGAAGAATTTTAAGAAGTATAGTAAGTGAAAAATTGCCACCAACATTTTCATAGAGTGATATAGAAAATGAATTGGATGTGTTCAAGTATAGCTGTAAGATACGGATACAGTTGCGACTAAGATCCATATCCTGTGAGAAAACTCACATGCACATGTTATTAATATGAATGCCACATACCAGCCGCATCCATATGGGTTTAGATCGAAATGGCTCATGTTGCCACTATATGCCGTAGAGTGTGAGTGTGGAAGTGAATATCAGTGTTGGTGTCAGTGACCAGAGGAACAACATACTCACACAGTTACACTCACAGTTACACCTACACCCACACCCTTGATAGGACATACTGAATGTCATCTCACTTACAAAGCCGAACTTATCAGATTTCTGTATTTTTTTCTAGGGATGCTAAAGACTGTTCTTAGTTCACATAATAAAACTTTCAGTTCTATAATACTTTGCTACTCAGTTATTAACCTTTTGTCTTTTCTTTTTTTCTTTTTGTCTTAGCGTTTTTCAAAGAACGTACTCACATTAACAGAGTAATATGCGTTCTCTTCAATGAGAAAAACGTGTTACACTATAATTTCTTATCATCACAACATTCTCTAAACACTATCCTTGAAAAAATTCAAAGACAAAGAAACACTACGAGTGAACTACATTAAGGAGCGACGCGAGGAGGTCTGAAACAACGAAGTGTAAATTGTAACAATTTTTCGCCGCCTTTCGGCGGCGACTTTTCGAAGAGAATGTCGGTGATGTTTTTTTTTAACGATAAGTTGGACTTTTCTCAAAACTAGAGTATAGATATGGGTTTTAGGTGAGGGTGCCGCTTTCAGTTCTTCCAAATCCACACCCACACGTCAAGAGTCTGAAGCCTTTTTTATAGTTCTTGTTTATTGTGAAATATTGTACGGGTACAAAGAGTCGTTATTACATAAGCATCATGTACAATAAACACTGAAAAAACATCAAATCATTCAAAATCTTGTTATCATAAGAACAATGAATCAAAATCGAACGAGCATAAAACACAACAATAAATAATGATCCTTTAATGGCTAATTTTCACACTGTAACTTTCTATTATCATGTTCGTTATCTATGCTATTTCGAGTAGTACAATCAAGACTATATTTTTTGTCATCATTTTCGCTTGAAGAAAAGTATAATTTCAGCTAAATGTCGTTCCTATCATGTGTTCCAATAATAATCGTTCATATAGACCCTTGATGGATAAACAAAGAGTAATCATGTAATAATAAACGGTATCCCCTGAAATAAGTCTATTATGGCTTTTATAATGAATTCTACTGTTGAAATACCACATTGAAAATACAAATGATAATTATTCTTCATGTTGTTTGCAATATTAGAGGAAAGGTAGCCAAGGACATGAGGTCATGGCAAATCTCAAACTGTTACCAGTTTTGACGATATATCTGATCACTGATATCTGATATTTTTGAAGATATCAGATATTTAAGCTAACCCATAATTCAGAGTCATCAACATAAACCAGATATCAGATATTTGAATCTATCTATACTTTTAAAATCACCAGCATAAGTCAGATAGCAGATATTTGATTCCATCTCTGTAATTGCACGGGTTCCAATAGGAAGCCGATGCCAGAAGTATACTCTTTGTAGGGTTTCATGTTTATATTAAGCTTTGGAATTAGGCATCTGCAAAGTAGTCCCGGTCCCGGTCCCAGCGGGACCGGGACCGGAACCAAAAAAACTGATTTTGCAGATGTCTATTTGGAATAGAATTTAAGTAGCATAGTTTTCTATGTTCAGTGCCTAAAAGTGAAAATATGGAATTTTTGAACTCCAATGTCAATGTTGTCTCATACTTATTATTCATTATGTTTTGCATTTTGTGAAGAATATTATGATGGAAACTAATGGAATAATACATGGCACCAAGGATATCAATTTGTGCTTTTATTCTCGTGTCGCCTTTTTTTGCGTGATATTTTTGTTAGAAAAAGTGAGAATGGCTTTAAAAACGAGACACAGACTAACACAATGAGCATATCTGTGCAATAGATTATACTCATAATATGCACGCTTGTATGCTGATTGGATCATGTTGTAGAAAGGATTAGTTTCAGTTTGAGAGACTAAAGGAATTGGGATAACACGCGAATGAAAAAAGAAGTATTTGCATTAAGCATCATTGATGAGAACAAATGCTGTGTGCATATATATTTTGAAGCCAATAGAGTTTAAATATGTTGTGGCCAATAATTGAAATGCATACTGTTTTTTTGTCATTCGCGTTCCCTTGCATTATTCTTATAGGTGAAGGCTCGTCAAATGAAAAATCCCAAGATTACGAACACATGATAGTCAATAGATTTTGGCTTTCATCCCATAGAAATTCCAGCTATTGTTGCCACAGATGAATCCAAAATATTATTGTCAAGTTACTTGTGATGGGCTAGAACAAATACAACTATGCGATACCCACAACAAATAATTAAATGCATGGAAATTCACGTGCCTTTTTTCGGTCGAAAACATTTCTTTGCTCAAACTAAACTACATACCCATGGTTTGCGCTTCTATTCGTGATAAAACTATGTATACTATATTTCTCTATCATCTCATTTTTGAATAGAAAAATTCAAGCGTCGTTCTTTTCCAAATTGCATAGTTTAGTACATTTTTTTAAAGTTTTTTCTAGACATGGGTAGATTCAACTTTTTTTGGGGATCGGAATCGGTTTTAGGATGTTTTCGTATCGTATTAGAATTGCAAAGCGTGATTATTTAATGGATCGAAATCAACCATCCCTAGTTTTTTCATCTAATGTCGATAAGAGAGACAGGTGTTCAAAATAAAATTTGAAGTACTTTAGTAGGGTGTGGGTGTGGGTATGAGTGTGGGTATTTACTCTTCGGGGTTCAACATCCACCCTCGCCCCATTATTCTTGTCTTCGGCATTCCTGTGTAATTCTTGTGTATCTCGTCATCAAAGAAAAATAATATCTGAAAAAGGAAATCAATAATTCGGTATGTTGTATTAAACTAAGATTCTTGAGAGAGAACTTTTTTCTATAAACGTTTTACAAATAGTAAATATTTACAGACTCTAGTGCGTAGTTCAAAACTTAATTTTAGAGGTATTAAATAGATGAAGCCAACTTTTGCCTCTTGTGTAATTAATAATATATTTGATAATATATATTTGAGCTTTTAAAATTGATTCCCTCGTTCGTATATTCCATTCTTGATTATTTCCTTTGTATTTGTTCTATTCTATTCATTCATATTACTTTTTCCTTCAGTTAACGTCAAACATACAAGTATACAAATTTATTCGATTCGACAAGATCAAACTAATAGAACATTTATTCTTCAACTATTTTCTCTTAATTTTTTTGTAATATCTTCATATTCAAATCCAATAAAATATATACACAAGATATGCTTTCTTGAATTGGTTGCGATGAGCATTAACCTTTTTTTCAAGAAAAAAGTTGTGATGACATGTTGAATGAGAATTTCATCATGCAGATTGGTGTTAAATCTCACAACGGTGTTTTCCTCTATATTTCATTCATTTGTTATTATTGTATGACGAAGCAAAGCGGTAGTGAAGGAAATCAGAGTATAAGAACCATGATTTTTGTCAAAAATGCTAATTATAGAAAAAACTTCAGAGTCTTACTATCACAGTGTTCTATATTTCTCTTTTTTTTTTTTGTTCAAAGAAATCTCAAGAAGATCTTGTTCGCAGAGGACAGATCCAGTTGTAGGAGTGTTATTTTCCTGTTACTTTAAAATACTTAGGGTGGATGTGGGTGTAGGGTGTGGATGGGTGTGAGTGGGCATGTGGCGAAGAGTGGGTGACGGTGGGTATGTATGGGCTACACTCACACCCTTACATTAATTATGATTCAAAATTAATTTTTTTTCATTTAGCTCATAGGATTTTAATCTTGTAGCAAAGTCGATAATGCACTGGCAATGTCTACGGCTGCTATTCATAATACTACACCTAGCGAAACAACGAATCCAACAACAACTGCTGATAAATCAACAGACTTTCCAAAGGATTTTTACCAGTGGTTGTCGTCTGGATCGAATGTTTTGCTAAGTATGGTTTCGTCAACTGGAGTTGTAGGCGTCTACTGATGTGGAATCAAATCGGTTTGTAATGTTTGTATTTTGTAAAGTATAAGAAAGTGCTCAATTTCATAGATAGATTTCGCGTTTTTTACTAAATTTTATTTAGTCTACATAGTTTTAATCCAAATCTCTCGCCGAATATAGACGACGATAACAAGAAAAAATTAGTAACTTCTTAAAATAAGTTTTACTAATTTTAGTAATTTTGATAGGTTTTTTTAGAAAATCAATCAAGAATATTCAAGTCAGCATATCAACAACCAACGTTATCTTCATCACGATTTGCTCTACCTCTACATAATGTTTAGTTGTCTGATCTTGTAATTCAGATTTTTTTCTCAACCAATAATTGATTGTATATAAAAATGATATTATTCACCGCATTTATTCATAAATAAAGTTGCTCTTACTCATTCATTTCATCGATTATTTTCATTCAAATAATGTGAATGAGAGTGACTATGCCTTCATGGTCGAATAATACGCACAGCAACACTTACACCCATACACACGCCCACATCCTTTTTCATTTTTGAATAGGTTACCTTATCCGACAAGGTTCTTT